ATTTATTTGGACCATTTCTCGATTTATGCGTGTCATCCTTGCTAATAACCCTTCTCTGTATCGTTCCAAATTTAACGGATGTCCCTAAGGACAGCCGTAAGTGTTTTCACTTGGCTTGCACGTTGCTTGAAGTTTTTTTATCTCTACAAACTAAAAAAAAAAAAAAAAAAAAAAAAAAAAAAAAAAAAAAAAAAAAAGGAAACTGGGCTCTTGAAGTTGCAGACGATGGTAATTGCGCTGACTGTGAGTCCAGTACCCACTCAATCATCTCTAGACGGACGAGTGGACATGGTATAGAGCACACTCTAGAACGTATCTGGCCGTAATGGGGCTGATGATTCAGGGCAACCCCTCCTCTCTTGTGCTGTCTGTGTGCTTGTTGTGGGGTTGTCCCTCGGGGTGCAAAGCTTGTGTACCTGCCTTGAAGTTCGTCCTTACGTTAGAGAAGCAGCAAGGACAGGAGAACACCACGGACAAGAGTGTGTAGCTTTCTTCTTCTCACGTTGCCTATGCTATGTCTAAGGACAAGCGTGTGTAGCTTTCTTCTTCTCACGTTGTCCATACTATGTCTACGCTATGTGTGTSCTATGCATATGCGAATATGTGCTCTGTTTGTGCTCTGTTTGTGCTGTGTGTGACATGTGTGTGACAGGTTGTCTGCCCTGTGGTTGTCTCTCAAACAGTAAGTTAAACGCTTGTGTTCTTTCTGTACGCTATGGGTATCGCATTGCTATGTGCATGCTATGTGTATGCTATGTGTATGCTATGTGTGTGCTATGTGCATGCTATGTGTATGCTATGTGTATGCTATGTGTATGCTATGTGTGTGCTATGTGCATGCTATGTGTATGCTATGTGTATGCTGTGTGCGTGCTATGTGCATGCTTCTCATTTTGTGTATGCTTTGTGCATGGCATTGCTATGTGTTAGCGTCTCACTTCAAGTTGTGTCTGCTATGTGTATGCTGTATGTATGCTATGTGTGTCATGCTTCTAACTTAGTGTGATATGCTATGTGTTTGTGGTGACACTGTGTTTGCTGTGTGTGTGCCTTGTGTGTCCTGTTGTTGTGGCTCAGACTGTGAAAGTTGTGTTGTAGCTTTCTTCTCCTTCACGGCAGAGCAATACAGAGCAAGTCGAAAGCACAAGAAGAAGAAGACACAGGAGAAGAAGAAGAAGAGGAAGAAGAAGCGGACAAGACACCATGAAGCGGCAGTCTGCTATGGTGATGGCCCTCGTGGCCGTTGGCCTGGTGTTGCTTGCCGTGTACCCGTCAGAGGTTGAGGGGTACTACGACTGTAAATGGAACAAAGACCACAACGGGAACACCATCGCGAGGATAGACTGCGATGACAATCCGGCCGCAGCGACCTTGGATGGATGTCAAACGGAGTGCGACAACTACTATGGATGCAAGGGAATTGTGTGGATCCCCAACCAATATGGATGGAAGGATGGATATATCTGCTGCTTCCTCAAGAAGAAGATTGGCAAACTGCAATCCCAGTATAACCGTGTCACCTGCAAGAAATATTAAGAGAGAGAGAGAGAGAGAGAGAGAGAGAGAGAGAGAGAGAGAGAGAGAGAGAGAGAGAGGCAACCGCATGCACTGGGTTGTTACGTACGGATGAGTCACGAAGATCAGGATCTCGATGACCCTCCTCAATGTTCGTGCAAAAGTTCATCTATCTATCTATCTATCTGTCTATGTCCATTGAGGATAAGTCTTTAAGGGATCTGTGAATATTAGGGGCAATGGACTTGGCAAGACAGTGGAGTGTTTAACTGGACGGGCAGTCTATTCTTTCCTATTATGGAAAGCAATCAGTGCTAGTAAGGGAGCTTGCATGCAAGGGAGCTTGCATGCAAGGGCACCTTGCGGTGACTGACTATGGATGTGCATATTTTGAAACCTGCATGGCAGTGCATGCTATATATGCCATGTTGTTGTCCGTTTCATCAGTGTACTCGCCCAGTTTGTCATGCTGGATGGACTGTGTGGCCACCAGGCCACAGTCCTCTCTCTCTCTCTCTCTCTCTCTCTCTCTCTCTCTCTCTCTCTCTCTGTGTGTGCGTGTGTGTGTGCGTGTGTGTGTGTGTGTGTGTGTGTGTGTGTGTGTGTGTGACAGTGTGTGTGTGTGCCAGAAGCAGCCAGATGATGATGACCCTGATGTTTTAATACATCTTTGCAACAAGAACATAAAATCTGCGCCTCTCCACAAACACGTCCAGATTCATACGTTAAATGTCATTCTTCCTGTGAAGATGGTTCCTTCTTCTCAAAGAAGGAGCAACGACAACGACATCCCCAGGAGGAGACCTGGTCATGGTGTGGTAATCTGTAGCCTGTAGGCAGAATGGGAGAATAGGAGAAAAGGACAACAAGGCAGCCTGTTAACGAAGAGACCGTGTCGTTTCAGACACAACCACTGCCACACAACTGACACTCTGAGGTGGGACCACCAACCACTGTGCTCCAGGGTATCTCACACACAGAGCATCACTCACCCACACAGGAATGCACAC